ACAGCAGCAGCACACGCAGCAGCACAAGCAGCAGCAGCACCGACGGTAGCAGCACCAGCAGCAGCAGCAGCAAGTCAGGCAGCAGCAGCAGCAGGAGCAGCAGCAGCAGCAGGGCTGACTTGGTATGTAGGGTTCTGTTAGAGAGAGGGGGGCCTCGTGCTGCAGCATCAGCAAGGAGAGCTTCTGCTGCTCTGGGGGAGGAGCACCAGGGCTCAGTAGGAGTAGGGAAATTGTGCTGCTGCTGCTGCTGCTGCCGTCGTGCTGCCAGCAGCAGCAGCAGCAAAAACAGAACGCGGACCTCCACTACCTCCTCCTGAGCCTCCAACAACGGGGGCATGCCCTGGGCACCTCCATCAGCTGCTCCTGCATCCGCTGCTGCTGCTGCTGTTGCTGCTGCTGCTGCTGCTGCTGCTGGGGGAGGCGATGGCTCCCACGCAGCCGACGTCCCCCTTAAAAGGCAGTCATCTGCTGCTGCTGCTGCTGTTGTTGCTGCTGCTGCAGAGGGGTAATACAACGACGGGAATCCGTAGTGAACTTCCTTTTGACCCTCCTGCTGCAGCTGTTGCCGCTGCTGCAGCTGTTGCTGCTGCTGCTGCTGTTGCTGCTGCTGCTGCTGCTGTAGCCAGTTGCTTTGCCGAGCTTTCCTTCGTGTATGAAGGAACGCCAGCGCTGCTGCTGCCCCCCAAATAGCGACAGCCTCGCTGTCTTTAAGAGCTGGGGGTATCTGAGGCTTATGCTTCAGCCTGCTCAGTCCCGCTTCGCTGCTGCTGCTGCTGCTGCTGCTGCTGCTGTTGCAACTGCTGCTGCAGCTGCTGCTGCTGCTGCTGGTGCAGGCCGTCGCCGCGAGGAGACCTGCATTGAAACGCCTCCATTGCTTGAGGGTAGCATACATCGGCTGAGCAGCAGCTGCTGCTCCCGCTCTTGGCGCCTGTCCTGGGGCCCCCCGAAGGGGCCCCCAGGGGGGCCCCCCGAGGGGCCCCCGCAGGGGGCCCCGGAGGGCCTCTGCGAATTCTAAACAGTGATTGACGACACCCAACACAGACCACTCAGGCGCTGGCGCGGCAGAGACAAAGTCTGCTGCCTCCATAGCCAGGCAGGAGTTGGGGGGCCCCCAGCGGGGGGCCTCGAAAGAGGGGGCCCCCATGGGGGCCCCCTCTGTCAGCTGCGGAGTCAAAAAGGAGCTGCTGCCGATTGACTTTGCTGCATGCAAAGAAGAGGCAACAGAAACCGGGTGATACAGTGCATCAGAGACAGAGGAAGGAAACGTAAATGCGGAAGGCTGCAGCAGCGGTCGTTCTTGACCCCCGGCGGCTGCTGCACTGTGCGCTGCTGCTGCTGCTGCTGCTGCTGCTGCTGCTGCCGGTGCTGCTGTTGCTGCTGCTGTTGTTGCTGCGCTTTTAGAAGGGGAGAAGGGTTTGTCTGGGCGCAGCTGAGCCATCGTGGTGGGCCGTCAACGGCGGGCTGAGGCCCCCGACGAGACGGAAGATCATGAGGTGTACATACACCGCAAGCATGGACACTCGAATCCCGAAAGAATGTTCAAAAGAAAGTGACAATTATATTAAGTATAATTTATAAATACAGTTTCCGGTTTCCTTCCTCCCCCCAACGAACCACCAACCAGCCGCCTCGCTCGCCGCTCCCGCAGGGGGGCTGTGGTAGTGGTTTTTTGTTATTTTTGTTGTTTCTGTAGTTAATACACTTTCATTTAATTATTTAAAAACTAATTAAATTGGTTTTTATTATTTGTTGAATATTTCTGCTATGTTTGGCCGGTCTCGATGGTGTGCCGAGGCGGTGTGGCTTGGACCGCTGCTGCAGCTGCTGCTGCGGTGTATGTACAGCTGACGGTGTATATACAGTTGAACTGTAGTCGCTACACTCAATAACATCTTAGCAAACAGTTATATATATTTGCAGCTCATAAACATCAGCTGGATTCCGGCATTAAAGTCTCGTCGTGGTAGCGAGCGGGAGCAAGTTGGGGTGTATGCGCAGCTCCGCATAACAGTTGAATTGAATTTCGTTGTTTCTGTTTCCCTAGCCCGAACTCTAAACGCCCGTTCTGATGCTATCTGGCTGTCGAGGGATCGCCACTGTGTAGAGGACGGCGGCATCCAGCAGCCCTGTTTGTTTATTCGTGCTTGAAATATGATTTGTTTTGGTGCATGCGGAGACAAACAAACCGTTTCTCTCTGCAACTTCTGTTAGCCTGCTGTGCAGCTGCTCGTATGTCGCTCCAGCAGGAAGCCCTAAATTCCTGTCCGCTGCAGCAGCAGGTTCAGAGGACGGAGCTGAAGCCGTATTCGTCTGGTGAGTGCAGCTCCTGGTTACCGATTGCATATACAGATAAACGCAAGCACGACGAGCGAGAAACGGGGCAAGGCCCAGCATAGGGCCCCGTGTTTCCTAAGGGGGTCCCCAAAGCTCCCCAGTCCATGGAGGAGCGCAGCTGCAGTTTGTTCAATACAATTTAGAGCTGAAATGTTCGCTTGCTTTATAAAACACAAGGGGTACTCTATCGTCTCACCTGGCTCATGCTGTCGGGTATGTCCCACACCAGCAGATGCGGAAACTTAAAAAAACAAAAAAGAGAACTCGCATGAACATAGCTGAATTTTGGCAAGTGATGGAACTGTGCTCACAACAACGCCGTCTTCGCGCGATACATCGGTGATCGTAATTACATACGAACCCGTGTCATATGGGGCTCCTACAGTGAAGAAACATTTAGGAAAATGCTGAGAAATCTTTGCAGTTTGTTGGTTATGTAGGTGACGGACCTGACCATGAAAATTCAGGCGTCTGGTTGCGGCTACCGCAAGCGGAGCCGAAATTTTTGTCGGGGAGAAAGCTGCTTTGTTCTGAGCTGGAGCAGCTGAAAGTGCTGAAATCTGAAATAAAGAAGTATTTAATTCAAATATAGCTAATGTTTCGCTGGAATTCCCACAAAGTTCGCACCGGAACTCTCAACTTGCAACTCCGCAACGCCGGAGAGGATATGCGAAAAGATGAAATGCAAAAAGAAGGCCACTGCTTTTTTCGAACGGTGAATAGGCATTTTTAAATAAGCAGAAATATATTACTCCGTGAATCCTGAAAAATAACGCAGCAGCTCACAGTGCGCTGTGGAGAAAGCGGTTTCTTGTCGGGGCCATGACTGCAGTGTACGTACACCGCAACATTTCATGAATGCTGCGGTGCGTTCATGAGACCGAAAAAGTAGAATTATAAGGAGATAATGAAAGCTTTCCTTGAGTTTCCTCGTTGATTGGTGAATGAAACGCACTTTGAATTCAAATGCCGTGCAGTTCTCTCATTTTTTCTTTCCTTTCCCTTTCTTCTTGGTCGCCATCTTCAGCGGCAGATCCAGTTGATCCATGGCTAGCAGCTGAAACATAGCCAAATCTTTGCTGTTCAAGCACTTGGGAGGCGGCAGCAGCCTCGCCAGGTCACTGTATTTACCGTGTTCAGCCCAATACGCCGCATCAAACCCTGAAACGAATATTGCAAGCAACATGTATAAGAGCGTGCAGTCACCGGGTTGCGTATAAACGCATTTGGGGGTGTAAAGTTGTCATCTGCATATGCTTATTTTTATGAAAATTTCAAAGAAATAGAAGTAGAACAGGCAGGCTGTATGCATACCCGATTTGTCTGTTATTGCCGGGTTTGCCCCCGCAGCTAGCATCTGCTCCGCAGCACCCTTGCAGCCAACGCGAGCTGCGATGTGCAGCGGCGTTTGGCCCAGTGCATTTTGTTGATTCGGCGAAGCCCCAAAGGAGAGCAGACAGGCGACCATATCCCTGAGCTGACACACAGACAGCCTCGTGTACTGAGCCGTTACTAAACTAGTTTTTATTTTCTCCTTCACAGTGGTGCAAGGACTTCGATTCCAACTCGGGTGAATGCGGGTATATTCCGACTTGCTGCATTTCTTGAGAGGTTTCTGTATGTTTCATTTGGCGGCGGAGAATGAACTAAGATATACTAAGTAGATAGTAAACAGTGATACGTGTGTGTCGTTCTCTGCTGTTTAGCTTTCTATACTAATGATGGTTGGTTTCGCGTTTCCAATGGCGATGTGTTGAATCGCAATTGTTTTATGGAGAATGAATTTCGCTGTGTTCATATTTACTCATTTTTGTTGCGCGCTGCAAAATGTAGTGCGGTATTCGCCCCGATCTCGGGCAGCTCTGCTGCATGCGGGTCACCGCCATGGGAGAGAAGTTCTTTGACTATTTCATCGTTGTTCAGTCGAGCAGCCAACAATACACAAGTCGTTCCGTTGCAATCGGCTTGTTTCACAGTATCGGGGGCCTCCGCCAGTTGCAGCAACACCAAGTCTCGCCGCCCTCCCTTAACCGCCTCCTGCAGCGCGTAGAAGGCCATTTGCTCCTTTATCAGAGAATATGAAACAAGCCAAATAATAAAAAAAACTCTGCTTTCCGCTTTGTTCCGAACAATAAATTTTTTTTTTTCTTGAATTTTTCAGCTTTCACCCATCAGCGGCGGCGCCGCGCCGCTCGCGCGCGCGCGGCGTGCAGTCCGACGGAAGAGTGATGGAGTGAACAACGGATTTCCTCTTTAATTGCAGCTTCATAAAGATTTCAAAACAATTGTTTTTAATTTTGCTCTCCTTTTTGCAAAAAAAATTAAAAATTTATTTTCGCGTTTCAGCTGTACCCCAGCGGCCGAGCACGGAGCCCCAGGTCACGCCGCAGTCTCGATCGTCCCGGATCAGTCTAAGCAGTGACCCTCTTCCTTCTTGTTGTTTGAAATAATAAGTGAAACTAAAATCAAAACCTTTTTGAGGAGTTAAAATGCATTTGTTTCAACTGAGTTGCTGGCAGTTATGCATGCTGCGCTGCAACTGCCACCACCGACCCCGCCAGGAGCCACCAGTACGTACACTGTAGACGCGTTTTCTGTTCTGCATTAATATTGGCTGCAGTTGCTGTACTCAACTCAGCCACAGGCAGCTGTATATACACCGCAGCTGAAGACTACACAGACACTCGGCCCCAACAAATCCCACCGACAACACCCCTCACGTTCCCTGTCCTACAAACCTAAACCCTAAACCCTAAACCCTAAGCCCGTATCAAACCTAAGCCATAGACCCTCGAACCATACTAAATATGGAGAAGGCATAACTTGTCATATGCTGCGTTTCAACCTCTTGCAGTGTTGCAGCCGTCACCAAGCGATAAACCCCCACGTCCGCAGCATTCAACTCGCTGCAGTGGGCCGCTGAACACGCGCAGATCGTAAACCCTAAACCCTCAACTAAAGGTCAAGATGAACGCGCCTAGGATGAAACCCTTGGGGTTAGAGTGAGGCAGTCAGCTGTTGGGTTAGGGTCTGAGGGCGGTATCGCCACACGGACCGCATAACGCTGTAAGACAAAAGCAATTAGTTGTACATATATATAGTTTTAAAAACAGAAAAACACAGTTTTTTTGTTCCTTCATCTGGACTGTATATACAATGACAACAGCGAACGCAAGCACGCGCTTTCTGCGTGCATGGCATTCATCCCGCCTCTCCCCCATCCTCTGGCTCGTCTTCCTCCTCGTCTTCACTGCTCTCCTGATCGCTGCTGTTATTGCTTGCATTAGTGTTATTGTTTGCGTCGTTATTGTTGGCACTGCTGCTGCTACTGCTTCCGCTGCTGCTGCTGCTGTCAATGCGTTGTTTATCTTGTGTGTTGTGTTCGCCTTGTTTTTGTAGGGCTTCTATCTTACTGATGAGTTTGTAGGCGGTGTTGAGGATACCGTGGGTATCGGCCCCGCACTGTACGCACTGTCTATTCTTTTTGAAATTGTTTAGAGCACAGCTCTCACAGAAGTAGTGACCGCATCGGGTGACGATTGGATTCATATCGAGTTGCCATTTCTTACGACAAGATAAACATGCAAACGGCAATCCATCCTCATCTTCTTCTTCTTCACTATCATCAGATGAACCCTCAGAAGAAGAAATATCCTCCTCTCCCTCGGCCTGACGCCTCAATCGGTCCTAAATATAAAATAAAATACAAACACATGAAATGTAGTATAATGATAAACAAAGGGATTTATAAATAACAGAAAATTATATATGCAGATGACGGCGTGCATATAAACAACTGAAAACGATGCGAAAGGCGTGCAAGTTATACACCATTGCCATACAACATTAACGAAACACAAACAAATCACATACACATAAGCAGATAAAAAACAAGTAAAAAGCAAATAAAAAGGAGAAAAGCAAATAAATAAACACACGAAACACGAACAAACAAACACAAGAGTGGCCACCTAGGCATAAACAAAGAGGCGAGATGAGAGGGAAAGAAAAAAGCAAAACGAGCACAGAAGAATATCAACCCCATCAACAGAAACACCGTATGGTGTGTTGAATGTTTCAAAGGGGTGGTTCAGCAGGAAATTCGGGCTTAGGGTTTAGGGTTTAGGGTTTGCGTACAAGTTTTTTCTTTTGTTGTTCTTCCCATTCTTTCTCTACCTGCCATCCCTCTTTATAGTCAGTACGATCATGAAGGAATTTACAACAGTCTCCGTACCCACAATAACCAGTTTCTTTGTAATCTTTGCATATTTCAGGTTTATAATCAACGTACATAGTGAGGCGTACGTTGTTGGATCCTCTTGTTGGGCCGTATAGCCCCGTCGTTTTATTGCGAGAGATTGCCCCCTCACTGGGTTTTACATATCGTCTATATGCTCCTATACCTCTATAAATACCGCTTTCTAATTCTCCTTTTTCTAATTTTTCACTTATTAATAAATTTCGTTCAAGAATTGCACGATGATCCGTCGCCCTATCTGGGTCCGCATCAAACACTGCCGTAGCACGCGCGTCGTCATCTAGTTTCTGCATTTCAGAACAAAAATTATATTTATTATAATTAATATATAGAAATAATAATTACAAATATAATTAATTATATAATTACTATTGTTCACCGCCTTTTTTGCCCCTAGTTCCCATTGTAATGAACGGAATCATCAAGAAAAATATATACAACAAACATGAATACAAAATAATAAATTTGAATACACCAAAATAAATCAAAAAAAAACCAAAAAAAAATAAATATTCATAATAATCAAAAGCTAATCATAATGAGTTACAATGAGAATTGCAGCATATTCAATAGGAATTTGAATATACAAGAAAACGTGAACAGCAACACCAAAGAGAAACTGAAAAGAAACGAAAGAAAACAAATATATTATACAACTCTAGAGAAGATGAACAGCCGGTAATATATAAAAGGAACGAAATGCTATCACAAAAGGAAACATAACTGAACCCAATCAATAAACAAACAGCAGTAGTCAATAGTAAACAATAATAAACAATAAAGGGCAAGCAGATACAAACGAAACCAACTAAGAAACAAAAGATAGAATGCAGTTCACAATAAAACAACCAATACAGCAACAAACAAACTAAGAAGCAGACAACATTAAGCAATAGAAGCGGACAAAGAACGACAACGAAACACAACAACAATCAAAAAAGCAACAATAAAAGAAGAAATATCCTCTATTAAAACAAAATTCAAGTCCTTCAGCTGTCTCACCAGGTCTGGATTACTCTGCTGAGCCAGCGCGTCGATCGGCTTCTCTTTTGGCGGCGCCTCTGTTTTTGTCTGTACACCACAGCAACAAATACAGCAGCGAACGCAGCAATATATACAGCAGCAACAAAATAAAACACAGAGGCTACAAGCAGCAACACGAAAACCCTAAACCCTAAACCCTAAACCCTGAATTCGCATACCCGTCCAACGACGAAATGTTTACAGAGTATATTTCGCGCCTTCTTGCGCTTGGCGATATTTGCATGCTCTTCATCACTGCCTTCAGACGCTGCTGCTGCTGCTCCCGTTGCTGCTGCTGCAGAATTTTCTCCCTCCTGTCCCTTTGCAGCTGCTGCTGCATCTGCTGCTGCTGCTCCTGGCTCTGCCTCGGTCTGGCTCGCCGCTGCTTCTGTCGGGGTAGGCCGCTTGCGGACGCCTTTGGGCGCCGCTCGCCTGACAAACATTTGAGGTGTATGTACAGCTAACCGGCGAAAAATAAGAACGGAAATGCCAGAAAGAGAAAAATAGGAGAAGAAAACGGAAAAACAAACACAGAGAAGAGGAGCCGCCCTCCAGTTGAGCTGACGGAAGCCCGCTACGGACGCTAAGCAGAACAGACAAAATTTGAGGTGTCCGTACACCTCAAGAAATACAAAAAACTGCAATTTTGAAGGAAAAAATGAAACTGATGAAAATCAGCGACGAACTGAAAGCCCCAAAACGCAGCCGCCACAGCCCCCAAGGCCGAGAATCGAGAGTTTAGGGTTTAGGGTTTACGGTTTAGGGGGCCCCCTTCGTGGAGAGAATAAGGGTGTTGCACACGCGCTTTCATGTGTCGCTGAGAGTGAAATGTTTGGGAGTACACAGAAAGACATCAGCGGCTTTTTAGCAACAGCAGCGACCCTCTCAACCCCCCCACGCATGGCATGCAAACCCTGACGCTGAACCCTAAACACTAAACCCTAAACCCTCCTCCATCCGCGGCCCTAGTCCTGGCTATCGAGCGCCGTTTGGCCCAAACTTCTCTTGAAATATCTCTTGAAGGCCGTGAGGTGTACGTACGCCTCCGCGGTCGCGCCCCCAGTCCGTCGGCTAGTTTCCTGGTCGTTGTATTTCTTCTTCTTCTTTTGCTGTTTCAACAGAGTTTAGGGTCTCCCCATACCCCTAAACCCTAGAACATAAACCCTAAACCCTAAACCCTCAATAATCCCTTGGGCTGAGGGGCCCCTGGGAGCGGAGCGGCGGCTGCTGCCGCTGGTGTGTGTCCAGGGGTTTTTCAAACATCTTTGGCGTTCGTCTCGAAATCCTTTTGCCTATTTCGATTACTTAGCAGATAAGAAAGGTAGAAAAGGAAAGGAAATTGCAGCGCTCGGCCCGCTGCCTCCGTGTTCGTCCGCTGAGCAGCGTTACAGCTGCTCACACGCGGCAGCTGCCTATACACCTGAGCTGCCTGTACACCTGAACTACCTGCACACCTGAACCCCTTAGATGCTTCATCTTTGCTAGCGGTCGCGAAGATGCAGACCCTCACAGACCCGCGCGCCCTCCTCGACCCGAATCTGCCCTTCAATGAAGCGGCAGTTCAGCTGCTAGACAGAGTGGTGGCGGCTATGTTCCTCTCCAACGATAGCGTGGAGGTCAGAAGGGTTTAGGGTTTAGGGTTTAGGGTTTGGTGTTTGTGGCTGGGGATATAGCATTTGCAGTAGAATGATCCAAATGGATGCGTTGCGGCGTACACGTTGAAATCAGGGTTTAGGGTTTAGGGTTTAGGGTTTAGGGTTTGCGGTGTATGTACAGCGGGATGTGGCGCATCGGGTTCTCGGGGAGTTTAAGAATATGCCAAACGCATGGACGCATGTTGCTTTTATCTTAAACGTATCGAAGGACCCAAACACAAAGTTCTTTGCTCTACAGATACTCGAAGCAACCATCACGGTACTCTAAACCCTAAACCCTAAACCCTAAACCCTTGCTGTTGACTGTCTTTCCCGTGGTTCTCATGAAAACCCGAAATATTCTGCTACTGCTTCTGCTGCCAGGCTTCTCGGTCTGGGTGTATGCGGATGGGCCCCAGGATTTAGGGTGTAGTACTAGTGTTCAGGGTTTAGGGTTTAGGGTTTAGGGTTTGGGGTTTGTGCTGCTCAGACGCGCTGGAATGTGTTGCCTGAGGCCGAGAGGAACGGCATAAAGGCCTTCGTCACTTCTCTTGTGATTCAACTCGCAAGCGATGAAGAAAAACAAAACACAGAAAAACATTTCATAAACAAAGTCAATGAGAATCTCATTCAGGTAAAATGCCACTTCAGGGTTTAGAGTTTAGGGTTTAGGGTTTAGAGTTTCGCAGTGGTGTAGGGTTTCTCGTTTAGGGTTTACGGGACAGGGCGTCGATTCAAATCGTGTGGCGGGAGTTGGAGTTGTCCAGGGTTAGGGTTTAGGGTTTAGGGTTTAGGGTTTGGGGTTTAGGGTTTGTTCGTTGGCTCGTGAGGGTTATAGGGTTTGCTTTCCATGACTACTAATTAATAATTTTAGGCACTTGTTTGTTTTTCGTTGTTTTTTTTTCTTGTTTGTTTGTTTTTTCACTTGTTTCGTTTATTCGATTAACTTTTTGTGCTTTGTTTTGTTTGTGTCTCGTTATTTATTCTTTTGATTTATATTTGTCTCCTGCGTGTACAGATGTTGCAGCTTGTTTCCCGTATTTCATTTGTTTCGTTAGCTGTATTTGTTGTGTTTTGTCTGTTTCTGATGATTTGTGTATTTCTTTGTGTATTTATTGCGTTAATATAATTTATGTTTTCTTGGTGTATGTGCAGATAGTGAATGCGTGAATTTGTTTTATATATTCGTGTTCATTGTATACAGCTATTGAATGATGTTTTCTTGACGTTGATCCATTTAGTTTTTTAAATAAATATTTGAATATATATATTAGTATATATATATTTATATATATTTATTTTTTATGTGTTTGTACAGATAGTGAAGAGAGAATGGCCAGAACGTTGGCCTACGTTTGTGACGGAGGTGTGCCAATCGAGCCGTTCAAGTCAGGGTTTATGTGAAAATAATATGCGTTTATTGAATATGTTATCTGAAGAAGTATTTGATTTCGGTAGAAATGAGATGGTTTCTCGTCGTGTTGGACATCTAAGAGAAGAATTAACGAGACAGTTTCAAGAATTACATGAAACATGTATGTTTGTTCTCCGTAGTTATATTGCATCACCAGGTGGTCTTCGTGTTTCACTCGTCCAACAAACATTAAAATGTATTGCTCATTTTCTCAAGTGGGTTCCTCTTGGTTTTGTATTTGAAACTGAAATAATACCAACTTTATTGCAACATTTCTGGGATGAAGCTCAATTCAGATCGGATTGTTTACGCTGCCTCACCGAGGTTGCATCGTTACAGCTTACCCAGCAAGAACAACAACTCTTTCAGAATCATCTCACGAATTTCTGGAGACAACTCAGTGAACGCGCTACACAAATACCCAAACAATCACTTAACTACAACGACCCCACCAGTGTACCACCCCAAGTTCGGCTCTTCTGGGAAACCACTTTCTGCCAGCTCGCACTTTGCCTCACAGGTATCATCATCATTTTCATCACTTTCATCTTTATTATATTCTTCATCTTCCTGCTGCTCTTGCTGCTCTTGCTGCTGCTGCTGCTGCTGCTGCTGCTGCTGTGACTGCTCCTGCTGGTGCTGCTGCTACTGATGCTCCCGTTCCCTGACTCTTTTCTCGTTTTCGCGTTCTTGCTACAGGGCCCGAGTTTGAGCTGTTGCTTGGTGTGCAGCGTCACCCTTTTCCTGTTTCCGTTGCTTCTCTTGTTTTTGTTAGTATCTATTTGCTTCTCTTTCTCTGTTCTTTGGTTTTGCTGCTTTTCAAGTTTTCGTCAATTGCTGCATTATACGCATCTGTGCATATTTTGATTGTATTTATTTTTTGTTTTTGTATGTATCGGCTTTTTGTTCTTCATTCCTTTGTTGTTTTCGTCTGTCTGCAGCTTTTTTGCGTAATCACCGCGAAAGTGTTGTTGAGCCTCTAGACAAACAAACCAACAAAACGAGCTGTATAGACACTCTAAAACTTCTCGTGGCTATCAGCGGCGCAGGGCATGATGAAACGTTTCAGATTTGTCTTGACTTTTGGTTCTCCTTTGCCGAAACCCTCCTCCACGAAGTCCACCAAGAAGCCAAAGTAAACCCCAAACATTAAACCCTAAACCCTAAACCCGAACCGTAAACCCTAAACCGAAGCTTTTGTTCCAGCTACACTGCGTACTTAAAATGTAGGGTATAGGGCCTAGGATTTGCTGTTTAGGGTTTAGGGTTTGAAGATTAGGGTTTAACGATGAGGGTTTAGGGTTTAGTGTTTCTGCTTTGTGTCCGCAGAAGAGGCAAGGACAGCGGAATGCTGAGGGTCCATTGTTGCTTTCACCGGATGCCGGAGAAGGTCTGCCAAGCCCTGCAAAGCTATAAACCCTAAACCCTAAACCCTAAACCCCTATCCTCTTAGGGTTTGCAATACCAGTGGCCTCTTCTGGCTGTACACTCCATAGCACCGTAGCTGTATGAAGACTCCCCGCCCACGAGCGGTTGTGTTGTTATGTGCTTGTAAACCCTAAACCCTAGATCCTAAACCCTCTCATTGTGTTGACGATGAATCCTTCTTGTGCTTGCCTGAGTGCAACTCTCTCCCTGCGTTATTGTTGTTTTTGTGTACGAACACCGAAGAGAGCGCTTGTAGTTGCTCACCGGTGGGTTTAGGGTTTAGGGTTTAGGGTTTATGGCCCGTGGGTGCAGGATGTAAGGGTTTAGGGTTTAGGGGTGCAGAAGGGTTGTTTTACTGCTGTTCAGGTGGAATGACGCCAGCTGAGTTGTCGTGGCGAGTGAAGGAATATGGAGAAGTTTTAAATGAAGTGAGAGGAGTCCTCATCAGCCGCATGGCCAAACCCCAGGAGGTGTATATACAGTTCGATCAAGAAACAGGAGAAGTAACGCGAGACTATGAAGTTGATACAGGTCAACAAACAACAAAATATATATATATATATATATATATATATATATATATATATATATATATATATATATATTTGTTTATTTATTTATTGTATTAATGAATTCATTTATTCACTGTTTACCTCGATTCATTCATGAATTAACCACTTAACTAAGCCATTAAGTTATTTATTTTTTTTATAGTTTCAAGGTCTAGGGTTTAGGGTTTGTGGTTTGCAGCTGAGGTCTCTCTGTACAACACGATGCGGTGCACGCAAGTCCTGCTGACGAACTTGGGGCAGATGGAGACGCAGCGCCTGATGCTCTCCGTGTTGCATATGGAGGTCAGTGGGACTGCATGCAGCTGCATGCACACACTTGCATGCATGCATGCATGCAGTTCACGAAAGAAATGAGTGAACGCCAGCAGCTGAGCTTGCCGCAGCGCAGCAAACCAATATAGAAAAGAGGAAGAGTGCTGGCTTAGTTTCGTTCTCTGTCCTTTCTGTATCCTTGCACATGCGGACAGATGAAGATGGAGACAGCCTGTTTCATCCGCAGCATTCGCTGCTGCTGTTGCCGGTGCTGCTGCTGTTGCTGCTGCTGTTCCTGCTGCTGTTGTTGTTGCTGGTGATGCTGCACCCGTGGGACTTCTTTGAGGGCTTCGTGTGTGTGTAGACGTGTGGTTTGGGTGTTTGTGTTGTTTGGGGTGTACGTACAGTGCATGCAAGCTCCAGTTCAGGGGGAGCAGTGGAATTCAACTTCTTTGAATCGCCTTTGCTACAGCATCGGCTCAATTAGTGGTGCGATGACAGAAGCAGTAGAAAGGCCCTTCGTCGTTGAGGTCATCCGCAGTCTTCTTAACCTCTGTGAATCTATGCGCGGAAAGGGCAATAAAGCTGTACGTAAAGGGTTTAGGGTTTAGGGTTTAGGGTTTAGAGTTCGGAGGGAGGGATTGAGGTTCGGGTGAGGGTTTAGGGTCTGAATGAATCCGGGTTTAAATGTTGTGCTCTAGGGTTTATGGTTTAGGGTTTAGGGTTTCTGGTTTTGGTTGCCGGAGCAGTTTAGGGTATATTGTTTCTTGAGGGTTTGATGTTCATGTTTTATGATTTACGGTGTATGATTATAATTATATTATTATAATTATATTATAATAATTATATTATTATAATAATATTATTATAATTATATTATTATTGTTAATATTTTTGTATTGTGTTTCAGATTGTGGCGAGCAACATAATGTATGTTGTGGGTCAATATCCGCGTTTCCTTCGGGCGTACTGGAAATTTCTTAAAACTGTAATTTCAAAATTGTTTGAATTTATGCACGAGTCCTTTCCGGGTGTACGCGACATGGCATGTGAAACATTTCTTAAGGTTGCACAGAAATGCAAACAAACCATCGCTGCCTCTCATCAAGGTACAACAACACACGCCACAAACCCTAAACCCTAAACCCTTATAGAATACACACAAGCGCGGAAAGCGCGTGACAGAAGAAGAAACGCAAAAGGTGATGCCACAGGATTCACGAAATGTTGTTTAGGGTTGAGGGTTTAGGGTTTGGAATCGAAGGGTGTGCGTAGAGGCGAGGGTTTAGGGTTTAGGGTTTGTTGTTTGCGTTTCAGAGGACGAGCGAAACTTCGTGTTGACTGTGATCGAAAACCACACACAGCAGACGGAGGTTTTGGATGAGAAGCAGCAACTGCTTTTCTTTGAGGCTGTCGGGCACATCATCTCTGCAACGCGTCAGTATACTTAACCCTAAACCCTAAACCCTTTATAGTCAGCTCTGTAGAAGTCAGAGCTTGTAGGGGTTTAGGGTTTACAGCTTAGGGTTTAGGGTTTAGAGTTTAGACAAATAAATTATCAACAATCAACAGACCATCGCTGCAGCCTACAGCTACAGAAACCAACAACCGCCTCCGTTGCAGCTTTGGGTCTCTTCTGGTCTAGGGTTTAGGTTCTAGGGTTTAGGGTTTAGGGTTTAGGATTTAGGTTGCTGCGGGTTTCTCAGTGCGTTCCAGCTGCATGCCGTGTATCTCGCACTATGCAGCTTTTGGCTTAGTTTTTTAATTGGAACGCCCGCTTATGCTGCTTTAGGGTTTAGGGTTTAGGGTTTAGGGTTTGGTGTTTTCTTGTTGTGTTGTTTCTCTATAGCCGCTGGAGCTCAAGCGGACTGTATTGCGGCATTGATGGCGAACTGTCTAAACAAATGGAGTGAAATCGTTGAAAAAGGAAAAACTAACGCGGAAACACTTTTCTCTATGCAGGCCGCCCGACAACTTGTACAAATTATTCGAATCAGCCAACGCCTAGCCAAGTAAACTTTCACGTATTTGTTTGGTTCTTTGTTGTTTATTTTTTTGTTCGTTTTTTCTTTGGTCGGCTTCGTTGTTTGTTCTTTGGTCTGTTTGTTTTTTCGTTGGCTTGCTTTCTTGTTTGCTCGTTTCGTTCTACATAGACATATTTGTGAGGATGTTTACACACACACACATACACACACAAGCATATATATATATATATATATATATATATATATATATATATATTACCAGGACGATATTCTACGGATCTAAGGAGTTTTCTGTGTTTTTGTTGTTTGCAGGTCAACGGGCTCTGCGTTTACTCCTCAGCTGATGCGGCTGTACGGGGAGATGATGGAGGTGTACGGGGTGTATGGACAGAAGATAGTGACAGAAGTTCAACGGGGCGGGGCTTCACGAATCAAGCATGCAGATGTGAAGTGTCTATACATCTTCAAGCGCGAGACGCTGCATCTCCTTGAGGTGTATGCGGATGAGTCGCTCAGAGATGCACAAGCACCAGCCAGAAAAGAAACAGTTAAAGAGCTCGTCGGCCAGGTGCTGCAACCTATTCTACAGGACTACAGGCACGCAAACCCTAAACCCTAAACACTAAACCCGAGTTTCTTCCTAAACCCTAGACCTTCACGTACCCTGCACGAACGGCTGACGCCGGAGAAGCGGAAAAACAGAGAAACCCTAAACCCTAAATGGTAGCTTAAACAGTTACCAGGATGGACATATTTTGCAGAAGGGGCATCCTTGTTTGATTAGGGTTTAGGGTTTAGGGTTTAGGGGTTTGGGTTTCGGTGCAGAGATAACACTCCCGATTCCAGAGACTGTGAAGTGTTGGCGCTCCTTGCGGTGCTCATGTCTCGCCTCGACACTCACATCTCCTCGGTGAGCGCATGTTAGGATTTAGGGTGTAGGGGGTTAGGGGTTTAGGGTTTAGGGTTTAGGGTTTAGGAGTTCGGCGTGAGTTGGTTGTTCTTGTGCAGGTGCTGCCGGTGATCTTTGACTACATTTTCGACTGTACACTTCAGATGATTAAGTCGGATTTCCAGAGGTATGTTTGGGGTTAAGGACTCCTGTTGAGGGTTTAGGGTTTAGGGTTTAGGGTTTCACGTGGAGGTTTCGAACGTTTCTCAAGCACGCGCATGGCTTATAGTGTTGGGTTTAGGGTTTAGGGTTTAGGCTGAGGGTTTGCCGGGTTTGCTGCAGTTACCCCGACCACCGCGAGCGTTTTTACGCGTTGTTGAAGGCGTGCAACCAGCACTGCTTTTCGGGTCTTTTCTCTCTGCCTTCTCACCAACTTAAGGCCTTTGTTGAATCTCTGGGTGAGCACGGGGGTTAAGCGCAGCCCTCTGCTTTAAGGGTTTAGGGTTTAGGGTTTAGGGTTTAAGGTGTCAGTTCGTTTGTTTGTTTCGTGTTTCCGGTTTGTTCTGCTGCTGCTTTTTCCTGACTTCCTCAATTTTTTATCTTCTGTTGCATCGACCTGGTGATTTATTTGCACTGGATAATATATTTCCTTTGCTTATTTGCTTGTTTATATAAATCAAGAGTATTTATGTTTTCTTCTCTGCCTTATGCCACTTTTACCTATTCGTCTGTTGTATATTCTGTAGATATGTTGTTTGTTGTCAAATCCTGTATTCATTTGTTGCTTTGTTTATCATGCATGCTGTTTTTATTTATTTATCTATTGTCTGTCTTAATTATTTCATTAATTTGTTGTTTTTTTGTAATTCTTCGTTTCAGTTTGGGCCTTTAAACACGAGCATCCCTCTCTGGCTGAGGAGGGCTTGCAGGTCACATATGAGTTTTTGCAAAAGTTGATAGAGGGGAAACGAGAGGTGCGTGAGGCGGAAAAAGAAGCATCTGCAGCAGAAATAATTCTTTGTTTACTATTGTAGTTAAGTAATGTGTAAATAAATGTGTAGTTACCATGTCCTCTATCTCTATGTCAGTTGTTTCTGATGTGCTGCTCGCGTGTATATGCAGCTCCTCAACGACTTCTGCAGCACTTATTACTTTAGTTTAATGAAAGAAATACTGCTAGTCTTGACCGACAGACTCCACCGCTCAGGATTCAAATACCAGACGTTGATCTTCATGGCTCTCCTCCGCATTGTTGGCTTTGGCTTAGTGCGAGATGAAGCAAACGGACTCACCCAAGAAAACGTCACGTCAGTATATATATATATATATATATATATATATATATATATATATATATATATATATATATATATATATATATGCATTTGTGTTGCTTTTGCTACTGCTGTTGCTGTGGACAGGTCTACTCTCGTCCCTGTTGCTGCTGTTGTGGATGCTTTTGCTGAACTTGTTAATATTACGACTCCATGCATGATGCCGCCTTTGCGTTTCAGGGCATGCCTGCATGCATGTGTATACCCCTGAAGTTTTGTTTATATACGAGTCAATACATTTTGTTTCTTCTTTGTGTTGTGCATGTATGCAGCAAAAGTCTTATTGATCTGCTCAGCAGAAGCTTCCAAACCCTTAACCACAAGCAAGTTGAGGCGTTTGTCGTCGACCTCTTCAACTTTTGTGGAGATTCAAACCCCACAAGGTTTCAGCAGCACATGCGCGATTTCCTCATTTCTCTCAAAGTAGGGCTGGGGTTTAGCGTTTGAGGTTTAGGGTCTAGGGTTAGGGTTTAGCGTCCTGGATAAGGGTTTAGTCTTCGGGTTTACGGTTTAGGTATTCTTGTCGGTGTTGGGGTGTGGGGTTTAGTGTTGAGGGTTAGGGGCTACGGTTCCGTGTTGGGTTTAGGGTTTAGGGTTTTTAGGGTTTTAGGGTTTAACAAGTAGAAATTGTTCCTTCAGAACAGAACGGAAGAAGCTTTACTCTGTTCGTCTCCATCTTTGTGTGCATGTATCCATGCGCGTCTTATTAGATATGCATACGTTTGTTTGTGCAATAACACATTTGTTTCTCTTCTGCTCTTTTTTTCTGTTCCTTATGGCTTTTAATCGGCTCCTCTTGGCATTCGGGTGTATGAGCATGTTGCTGTTTCTGCATCCTGGGCGTCTTCTTATTTCACAAATTTATTTGTCTTTATTTCTGCTTTCTGCTTTTCCAGGAGTTTGCTGGAGACAATGACGCGCTGTTCGAAGCAGAGAGAGAGGAGGCGCTGGAAAGAGCGCGCGAACTTGAAAAGAAGAAGAGAGGCCAGGTAAAGAAAAACAGAGATTTAGAAACTCAACACTATATATAGACGTTTTCTTACTCTTATACTTCTCTAATGTTGTAGTTTAACTGTTTCACACATGCGTAAGAAGCCAGGTAACGCTTGAGGAGTTAGATTTGCATATTATTTTAAATATGCTTCCACGTTCTGGTATTCAGCTAAGATGAAGATGCATAGATTTACATGGGCGTGCCTTCGCTTCTCTGTGTGGCGATTTGTTGCATACAACGCAGCAGGATAAAAGATGTCTTCTTTTTGTTGCTTTCTTTTTGTTTAGATGCGTGTTTGTTTGTTTAAAATGCATCTGTGATATATTTTTCACTTCTTCAATCATCTCTCGCTGTTTTTAGGTGCCCGGGATGACGCCCCAATACGAGTCGATGGTTTCCATTCGCAACATGGAGGACTAACGTGCGAACAGGAAAATAATTAAAAAATAGTGAATATGAAATCCCTTAAAACGAAAACAGTTGAAGGTGGATGATGACTCGGGGATACTGAAATTAGTTTTCTACAGATTTCGCTTTCGTTCAAAATCGCTGCAAAATCGTGGGTTGAACTGTTGGTGGTTTTTGGCGCTGGACTGCAACGAATAGGAGGAAGAAAGGAGACAAAACAGAAGTTTACTGTTTTAGTTTCTTCATTGTTGCAGATTAGTACATTATTGCGAACGCATCAAATCAAAATAGTTTACAGACCCCCTGAACCTCCTCAGGTGTGAGGAGGCACAAGTGGAAAATGAACGAAATCTTTCATTTTTCATATTGCTAGAGATAAACAAGCACTGGAGATTTGTCCTTAACGTTAAACGCCCTAAGCCAGAGCTGATTAGGAGGAATGCCGAACTTTTTCACGAGTTCCTTCATCCCCTTTTTAGATAGAGAGTGGCCCTGTAAAAACATGCGCACATCTAGGGTGTACGTACACCTCAGCGGCGCCGATGCAGAATAGTGTGTTCACTCCCTTGCCATATCATTTATTTTACGGATCAGAACTAAACGATCTTTATGAATAAGAGGCCGAAACTTACGTTTATTTTCAAACGAATATTCTCAGGAGTCACGTTCGCTTGAGCAACCGACTTGTTTTCTGAATTTTTCATATCTTCACAAATCCTCTCGATGAGATCGCAAACAAGCAGATGATCGTACATCGACACCGAATGCTCTTCCACCGTCATTATGCCCATACCTAATAAAACGCAAACAGAAACAGCAGAATATATATATATATATATATATATATATATATATATATATATATATATATATATATATATATATATATATATATCTGAATGGAAACGCCTAATATGCCCCTTGCACCGTAGCCTCTTCATCGCTAGGCCTGTGGATCGTTCAGAAGCATCCTCTATGTTTTACAAGAGATGAATTCGGCATAGAATGCGTATTGTGCATACATTGCAGGGACGCAGACACCTATGGAAGCAGGGCTTGACTTCGAGCCGCTCCCTGTGAGTAGCTGAAGCGTTTAACTGTGCGACAATTAGAATAACTGCATGTTCTTTAGAACGGTAAATAGATACAATAGTCTTTTCTCAAGGAGACACGAGAACTGTCAGTATCCTGCTAATATAAATATTTATACACCTTCAATTAACTGAATAGTGTACATTTCCTGGATATGTTGAACATACACTTCTTGAATATGATGCGTAGAGACACTGGATCGTTCGCTGTGAAGCCGTCTACATCTATTTTAATCTTCGTTCCAAACAGAGGTTGGAGATCTGCGCCCTGTACAGAAAAATCCACGAGACGAGACAACCAAATCTCAACTGCATACACACCCTTATGACGACGCCTCTCCAGAGCAGGGCATATATATATATATATATATATATATATATATG